TCTGAATATTTGGTTTGAACTGTTCTGGAACAGTGTTGTAAATACAACTTAACCACTGATTTCTAGTTGTGTCCTCTCTTGGAAGGCCAAAAAAAGTAGTTTCGCTTTCAGGCCGGCAGCCTAGAGTGAGCGAAGGCCGGTGCGGCTAGAGTGAGCGGTGGCCGGTGGATTCGACAAAGGAGCGGCCGGCAGGCAGGCTTAAGAAATGTGAATACAAGGGAGGTTTAGCTTTAGGCATTTTAATTTAAGCATGTTTAGGGAGAGCATCAAACCAACACACCAGACACATCCAGCACAGTTCACTGCAGCTGTGAAGACTGATTTGGATGTTTTGAGGAATTACTCCATTTTCTTTCTTCCAATTTCTATCCTCTTTGCTTTCTTAGCAGTTCTTTCACTAAATGAAATGAAGCTGTCATCACATATTGCTGTAAATTTTACTTTTAAAGTTGAGTTAAGTTGACTCCACAGCTCAGCCATCATAATCTTTGAGCACCATAATCATTTCATACATCATGACCCACTAGTGGGTCGCGGATCATTCTATAGGGGGTCGCGAGACTTTCTCTGTGTTCTTGGTGTTACACCGGCACAGCCAGTAAGTGTACTTCACAAAAGGCTCATTGAAACAGTGACCTCCAACGAATCGTATTTTCGAATGTCGCATGTTGAATCATTATTGCCGTAACTTTCTAACGCTGTTTCTAAACTGTCCTATCACAATAATTTATCGCTGCCGCGAACGGCTCTTATTCGACAAGGTCCTACTCTCTTTACGTAATGTTACACATGCTAGCAGCTGTTTACCCCGTCGCTCACGACAGCTTCAAAAAGCACCCTGAAGGCAAGTTATCTGGCAGCTGGCCACATCGCCCGTGCTAAGAAATCGTGTAATGTCGGTGAAGAGCTAGTTATCCCATGTGCAGTTGACATGTGCCGTGAGGTACTAGGGGAAAGTGGAGCTAACAAAATAAAAGAAATCCCACTCTCCAACGACACTGTCTCCAGGTGGATTATAGACATGAGCGATGATATTGAAACGCAATTTTTGGATCGAGTGCGAGCAAGCCCCTTGTTTGCCATTCAAATCGACCAATCAACAGATATTTCAAATATGGCATTGTTGCTTGCATTTGTACGATACAACTGGGAAGGTGCAACACATGAGGATCTACTGATGTGTAATGAGCTCCCAACACGGACGACAGCAGATGAGTGTTTCCGTTGCCTCGATGGCTATTTTGCACAGAATGGGCTGGATTGGAAGAATTGCGTAGGCATTTACACGGATGGCGCGGCCTCAATGACTGGCAAACATAGTGGGGTTGTAAGGAAAATTTTGGACAGAGCACATGAGGTGACATGGGTTCACTGCTTTTTACACCGTGAAAGCCTCGCAGCCAAAGAAATGCCAGTGCCCTTAAATGAGGTGATGGACATTGCTGTAAACAATTAATCTAGTGAAGAACAGTGCTCTCATTTCCCGCTTGTTTTCAATTTTGTGCGACCAGCTGGAATCAGACCACCGCCGGTTGTTATATCATAATGAAATTAGGTGGCTGTTATGGGGAAAAGCTCTTAATCGTCTTTTCGAAATGCGTAAGCAGGTGCACACATTTCTGGAGGAGAAACGGTCTCCCCTGGCAAAGCATTATACGGAGGCTGAATTTCTTGTGAAACTGGCATACATGTTAGATATCTTTGACCAGCTAAACCTATCCTTTCAGGGGAGAAACAACGGTGTTTTCTTGATGGCTGACAAAATTTAAGCATTCAAACAGAAGTTGGTATTGTGGGAGAAGAGAGTGCAGGAGAACATTTTTGACATGTTTCCTAACCTTACTGATGTTCTGCAGGAATTCCCTCACATCAGCACCGACATACAGAGAATTGTCCGGGACCACCTGACCAGATTAACACAGAAATTCTCAGATTATTTTCCCAACGACCGAAGAGTTGGGAATGCGTGGATTCGCGATCCTTTGTCAGTAGACCCAAGTGATGTGGATGTTGTACTCCCCATTAATTTGCAAACACAGGTAGTGGAACTTGCATCTGACGGCAGCCTGCAGCTTGCTTTTCACAAGACAGACCTGAGTTCCTTCTGGATTCAAACCAGCCACGAATATCCAGAACTCGCAGATCATGCAACGAAGTTTCTCTTACCATTTAGCACTAACTATCTTTGCGAGTCGGGATTTTCAACAGTGACTGCAACGAAAACAAAAAGCAGGAATAGGCTGACAACAGCTAATTTGTGTGCGACACTACGAGTGGCCCTTTCCTCAATTCCACCGCGTCTGGATATCATCATTTCAGAGCAACAGTCTTAAATGTCACATTAACTTGAGTAAAAATAAATAAATCAGTTTGCGTCATAGTTTGCCTAATTATTGAAAATGTTTGTGTGTTTTCGTGAAATTGATTATAATAAGCATATACAGTGTAGCCTAGGTCTAAAGAGGCATTTTAGTTATTTATTTTCAGCCATAGTGGGTCGTATGATTGGCATACAAAAAAAAAAAGTGGGTCGCAGTAGGCAAAAGGTTGAGAAACCCTGCAATAGAGTAAGCTTTCTATATACAAATGCCATATTTTTCTCTCTCTCTCTCTCTCTCTCTCTATATATATATATATATATATAAATAAATTAATAATACTTGTAATCATTGGGTGAATTTTTTATTTTAATGATCTATTTGCATTTTTTGTGCATTTTAAACAGATCCCTGACAGAAGAACTGACCCTTAAAAGGAAGCAAAACATCATGGACTACTTACAACAGAATTCACGGTAATTGACCCCACAAAATTTTTTTTTTGTATGGAATTATGCAAGAAATATTAAAAATGAACATGTATTAGCATTGGTATTATTAGCAGAAATGTATTTTAATGAAATATACAATAAATAATAGAAGTCTCTAGTAGTACGTACTGTAACCCTCCGAGTAACAGTACAAATGCTTGGAAATAATGCTTAACATTTTTACAGTTGTTATGGGCAGAAAGTAGAAGGGGTAATTAGTAGACAAGGCGAGGACCAAATCACAGCTATTTATTAAATGAAACAAAAAGATGATACATGAAAATGAGAAGAGTACAAAATGGTAAGAAGAGTTGCCAAAATGGTAACTCTCAAACAAACCCGCTTTGAAGAAGAGTGGAAAAGGAAGACAACCACAGTGGAGTCCAAGGAACAGGACCAGACCAGAGCCAGGGACTTGGAAGACTGAGTCGGCGGAGGACCAGGGCATTGTCACAGGATCAGAGGACCAAGGTGGAGCCAGAGGGTCAGAGAGCAGTTGTGGAGCCAAAATTATGGAGGTTAAGGCACCACTGAACGTCTGGAGGTCTATGGTATAACCAGGGGATCTACAGACTGCGGTTTTATAAATTAAATTGGTTTATTATATAAAGCAATCGTATCTTTTCATAAGGCTTGGATTAAATCGCTCAATTAATATAGACTCATTTTACAAAGCCTGTATAACCTTTTGGGATATTTTCATTTTTTTTTCCTGGACTTCCAGTGGAGGAACAGAAACCTCCCAAGTTTCATTAAAAATATCTCAATTTGTGTTTCAAAGATTAACCAAAGTCTTATGGGTTTGGAACTACATGAGAGCAAGTAAATGATGACAGAATCTTCATTTTTGGGTGAAGATCATTTTTGGCTCTTTAATGTGAAGTCTGAACTGACAGAAAATAAAAAAAAGCTTTGCGGTTAATAACTAAAATTTTGAGCAAAGTTCTCTACTGTTAGTTTTCAACAAGGAGCTAATTTTTTACATGAAAAGACAGAGTACCTTGTAACAGTACCCCACCTTTCAGTTATCAACAACATCACTGTACAATTAGATTCTACAATTAAAGGTATAATATTACAGTTAAAGGGGAAATTCTGATGACAGAACAATCCCTAGCTGAAATTACAACCCAATTTTTCTATAGAATTTAGGCACAGTCCTGCAGGATCGCTACTGGTTGAAGCTCTTATTTCAAGACTGGACTGCTGCAATGCTCTTTGACATATTTTGTCACATTTACAATGCAATAAAAGCAATAATAACGGTGATGATAAATCAGCACATTACAAAAAATGCTATTATGCTACGTCATATGTCTCTTAATATTAAAGTCAGATGTTATTGGAATCTTCAGGGCCAGTTGAATGTCCTGCCTGTGATCTGATAGAACTTCTGGTTAAATGGGTGGAAGAAGCGTTGCAGTTTTTCCTTGATGGAGAGATTTACATCTGGATGGATCCGGCCCTTACTGCCCGCCAGGCACTTACTGAACATGAAGTTGAAGCGCAGACAGAAGAACCCACGTGTGGCATTGAAGTACAGATTGTACTGGCTGATTCGTGATGGAAGGTTTAAGAATTGTTCAACCAGCTTAAGCTCTGGAAGTGGGTCTGTGATGAGGTGGTCTCCATCAACTATGTGAAATTGCTCAATGGGAAAGAACTTTAACCAGTGTTCTAAGTACTTGGTGTAGATGCTTGTCCGTACAGCCTTGTACTTTGTGTTCACCTCACAAGTCTTGGTATCAATCACAAGTTCCTCAAACTTGTTGTATGTTTTGTTCTTGCGCTCTTTGCCCTCTAGGACCTGTGTATAGTCAGACACAGCACGGATGGTGGGCTCACGCACAATCAACAAAAGTTTAATGGAGGAATTCATTTTAAAGATCCTCTCAGGCACCTCCTCAGTGATGAAATATGCAGGACTCTTCTCAATAGTTATTTGGTGAGGAAAAGAGAAGGGCATCTTTTTGAGGTACCAGTCAACTCCACGATCATAGTTTTCATCATTGTCGAAAAAGTGGACCTCCTGGGAGGCCTTGACAACAGCAGGGTGAAGACTGAGCATCTCCAGCAGAGCGCGTGTTCCACCTTTCCTCACCCCAATGATGATGGCCCTGGGAAGCTGCTTAAAGAGGTGGTGCATTCGCAGTTGCTCCCTTGTGCTGTTTCTCCTGTGCAGCTTGAGATGTAGAGCTTGTTTGCGCTGCAATGTATGTAAAGGAATCTGCCCTAAACCAGCAGGGGACAGTTTGTCCTTAATGGGACAGATGAGCTGCAGTCTGCAATGAAAGAACAAAATTTGGGTGTATAATCACCCAGTGTACAAGAAGTTTTATGCACCATAATTAATTTGAATGAAAACAGATAATTATTTTTGTTGATTTGGTAACTTCTTCATATTTTTCTACTTTTCAAATGACTACATATACAGTGCCTGTCCTAATACCCACACTCTTTGCATCTGACCACTTGTCCACTTGTATGACATATTTCCTGGATTTGGTCCCGAGTGTTCAAGCGGGCGTAAAGACCGCAAATGTGTGTAAAACCTTTGATTAACGATGAGACACACTTACAATATTGTAAAAATGCAAGTTTTTCCAGAGCTTTATTTATATATTTTTTTATTTTCAATACTTTGCACTTTAAAATAAACTTCTAAATGTCTGTTCAGTAGCCCTATGTAAAAGAAGACAATTTAATTGTGGTGCATTATGAAAAAACTCTTTCAAATGTTTTACAAATACACTCACATCTGTAAATTGGGCAACATTTAAATGTAATATCTCCCCTTAAGAGAAGAGACGATCATGAGCGTTTAGTGCCATCACTTGACCAGATGATAATATTAAATAATATGTCACCTTCTCTTTTATTTAATTCTGAAGGCAAAGGCTGTTTCTCTTGACTTTTATCTCTGTAAAATGAGGTACTGGCAACAGCTAGGTAAAGATGTTGATGCTACTGTCATGGTAATGTCATCTCTAAATTGGACTAATTTGGACAGTCACACAGACAGCGTGTTGTTTTAATAAATGGAATATAAGGCTTAAATAAATGAATTTAGTGTGTAATAATGGCTGCAATATTGTATTATGTTCCTGACCCTGTATTGATGTAAAGTAAATGGAGTCGAGGAGTTCCACTAACTATGGTGTTAGGAGTCAGATTCGGCTAAAAAACCCACCCCTATCGAACACCTCTGCTTATTGGTCAATAGCTGTGTTTTAGATACAATAAATAATTACATATGTTGGAGTGTGAAAAGTGTTTATTTTCCATAAGTACACGGGGACAAAGGTGCTTATTATTGAATAAACACACTGGGGCTTGAGTTTTTCTGTGAATGAATGCTATAATACCTGTCTAAAGTGCCTTCTCTGGCCACCAGAAAGAAAAGGCTCCCAAGCACCAAGCTACCCAGTACAAAGAGCCTCTGCCTCAGCCACTGCTGCTGTAAAAAAAGCATCACCCTCCATCAACAGTCTTCCTCAGCCTGCATAGAGACACACACACACATACATACATATAAACATGATTTATGTATCCATATCTTTTCACTTACACATTGATAAAGATCCCACGTCCATCAAACTAAAGACTGCATATTTATCAGTTAACAAACACACATTTCAAACAGCATCAGAGAAGAGCTTAATGCTTTTTAACACACAATAAATCGTGTCTTACAAGTCAGCAAATGCTGCAGCGTCGTTATAGAGGGTGCCCACTCAACACAAACACACACACACGTTGGTATGTGTGGTTTACAGGGACTCTCCATAAGCGTAATTGTTTTTATACTGTACAAACTGTATTTTCTATCACCCTACACCTATACCTACCCCTCACAGAAAGCATACTGCATTTTTAGATTTTCCCAAAAACAAAAACCCACCATTTAGTATGTATTTTAAGCCATTTGAATTACAGGGACACAGGAAGTGTCCTCATAAACCACCTTCACATTGTAATACCCATGCCATATCATACCCATGTCATTATACAAATTTGTGTCCTCATAAACCACCTTCACATTGTAATACCCATGCCATATCATACCCATGTCATTATACAAATTTGTGTCCTCATAAACCACCTAAACCAATGTACACACACACACACACACACACACACACACACACACACACACTGAAAGTGAGCTAATTCACTCACACATAATGAATTATTTTACACTTATATTTATTCATTTACCAAACGCCTTAATCTAAACAAGTTACAAATGAGGAATATAACAAATTGATTGATCCTGAGGCAATAAAAAGCTTGCTCTGTTTTAGATCATTTGTAGAACTTGCAAATGCAGGAAGACTGAACATGTTAGAAGTCTAGCTAGAAGAGCATTGCATTAATTCAGTCTAGAAATGACAAGAGCATGGATGAGCAGCATGCTTAGTTAGGAAGAGCCTTTGTCTATACTTTGTGAGAGAAAATAAAAGGTTTCAGAGCTTTAACGATTTAAACTAAAATGACAAATTATTGTACTACTCTTTTTCTTTCCGTTACGGTCTCTTCTCTCCTCCTCACTATCCTTGAAGCTGTCCTCATATTCTCTCTCTTGGACAGTTGGGCTGGGACAAATGTCCTTCATTTGGACATGTCCTTGCCTTCCTCTATATCATCTTAGGGGGTAAATTGTTGTTATGCTCTAAATCTTCCTTGCACTCATCCATCTTGCTGCTGTTATTGTTTAGAAAACCCCACCACCATTATAGTTGACTCTTGTGTAAGGGTAATCTTGGTGTCTGAGCTGGCATGTAAGGGTACATAAAGCTATATCGACTCTCTCTCCCAGTCAACTAACAGTTCTGCTGTAAAATACAATCAATTTAGGGTTGAGGCCATGTCTAAACAAGACCTAAAATAATAAATACTGCAATGCTGATGAGAACGTGTGTTAGCACTTTATCTTCCAATACTGGCAATGAGCGGCCCACACAATGATCAGTAACACCTACAACAATATTTCTACTGTTCCGCTATACAATATCTTTTAGCATAGTTCTCATTAATATGAAAATTCTGTCATCATTTACTAACTCTCAAGTCATTCCAAACCTGTATGGTTTTGTCTTCTGTGGAACACAAAAGAAGATGTTTTGAAGAACTGTTTTGGGTAACCGGTATTGAAGAGTGAATCTGCATTTTTACTCAGACTGTCTGGTGTTTTTTGTTCAGATGACAGTGCAAATTGGGCCGAATTTTCAATGCAGTGTTTTAAGTGGTTGATACACAAAGGTTTAATTATTTTAAAATTTCGGGAAAGAGACTTCAGATACAGTACTAGGGACCACTTAGGCCTATATAAAAGCATCCAAAAAGCAGCATGTCATGGGACCTTTAACGCTTCGTTTTTTTAAAAAACGCATTTTTTTTCACATAATTTACCCTTATTCCACACCTCTCTGTCCCTTCTCTGAGAAACGGGCTGATCATTTTCTTCTTTTATGAAGCCCCTCCCTCAGAAATAGGCGATGGGCTCTGATTGGTTAGCCAGCCCAGTGTGTTGTGATTGGCTAAACCGCCTCTAGTGCGCATCTAAACATCCCGCCCCTCACCTCAGCGGCAAGGTTATTATAGTTTTGAATTTTTAAATTCGTTTTATTTTAATATCGTTTTCATATTTGCTATAAAATTCAGTTTAGTTTGTATTAGTTTAATTCATATTTTTGTTAGTTTTAGTTTAGTTTTTAAAACTTACTAAAATTACTCAAAACACACTTAATAAAAAGTTTCTGTCCCATTTTATCTGTTTACTTGGATGTGATGTGACAAAAGGTTTGGAAACCCCTGAACTGATCATTCAAAATGAAGCAATAATGAAAAACAGGCAGGAAACAGAAACTGATGATGAAACAGATGAAGGAAGCATGCGTGTGCGTGTGTGTGTGTGTGCGCGTGTAAGCACTATGGAGTGATGCTGATGAGGTGTAATGGAGTAATGTGACCTCATACTGCTCACATTCAAGCACACACACAAGGTCGTCTCACTCTCCTCTTAAATAATGGGTGTTCTGTGTCTGATGGATCACTTAGCTGATGTTTACATGAGATGAGTCACACTATTAAACACAATGACCTGCCATGACTTCACTTAGACTGGGTTCCCATGACAATAGTCCTTGGTTTCATATTTAAAGGAGGAATGACATGCAGCCTAGCACATTTTCTAACACTATTACTCCTACAATGTGAATGCCATCATAGGGCTTTTTTCAAACACTCCATTTTAATAGGAAATCATCTGATTGGATCAATGAGTAAACATTACCCAACCAGTATTTTTAAATCTGAACTCTCCATCTTACAATGCAAAAAACAATGAACTTCGGTAGAGCTGTGCATGTGGTGACCTGCAGTGGTAGTAGCAGTTACTGCGTCTTTTGTCATGTGTCTTGCCATACAAAGTTTGTTTAAGACTTCAGTGTTAAAGTTAATTACTTATTGCTAGATTGTTTGTCAAGTTCGCTAAATGGATGTGTTGATTATAGTCCTGTTGTGAGCTTTATTCCTCCATCCTTCGTGTCCAAATTCTTCACCTATCAAACAAACAATGAGGCTCCAGTATGGCAGAGAGTTCCTCCTCCAGCGGCACCGTCCTTGCAATGTTCGTTACCTCATGGACCAAAATCCACTGTGTGGAAACGGTGTTCATAACAATGGATCTTCCACTAGTCTGAATTACAACTCTCGGAAAATTCGGAAGAGAGGGAAGAAGGGATGGGTGAGTATGAGGCTGAGAACACTATGGCTTATCTGGACTCCACTTCTGATTATTATCATACCAAATGTCCAATTGCTTAGGAACAAGATTGATGACCTGCAGGCAATGGTACGTATTCAACATGCTTATAAGGATGCTTCTATTTTAGCTTTTACTGAGACATGACTAAAAATGTGACCCTGATAATTCTGTTCTTATTGATGGGTTCGGCACTCCTCTATGTACCGATCGCAGTTCAGCAGTTACACGGAAAAACCAAGGAGGAGGCATTGGTCTCTATATTAATCAGGAATGGTGCAGATCTGTTATTGCAACCCAATCTCACGGCAATTCGTACACATGGGCGGCGCTAGGGAGGGGCTAGCAGGTGTTTAAGCACCCCCAAGAAAGTCCAAAGCACCCCCATAGCACCCCCACACATTTTTTCCTGAAAGCAAAAACAGACTGTAGCCACTTATATCTAATAAATAAGTTTAAACTAAAAACAAAAAATGAAATAAAAACATTTGACTCATTACGCATGCGTAACTAATGCAATGCAATAACGTGACGTGATTTGATTGTCGCATTCCTAATGTCATGGCACAAGTAACCGCTCCATTTTTAAAATGCTATGTAATTAGGCCTGCCCCGACTAAAGATTTTTCTAGTCAACTAGTCACACGTTTATATTAAATTAATTCATATAATGCCTACTAAACCATCCTATAATATATGTGATCCTGGACCACGAAACCAGGATTTCTGAAAGCGGAATAAATAAGCTTTCCATTCATGTATGGTTTGTTACGATAGGACAATATTTGGCCGAGGTACAACTATTTGAAAATCTGGAATCTGAGGGTGCAAAAAAATCTAAATATTGAGAAAATCCCCTTTAAAGTTATCCAAATTAAGTCCTTAGCAATGCATATTACTAATCAAAAATTAAGTTTTGATATATTTACGGTAGGAAATTTACAACATATCTTCATGGAACATGATCTTTACTTAATATCCTAATGATTTTTGGCATAAAAGAAAAATCTATAATTTTGACCCATACAATGTATTTTTGGCTATTGCTACAAATATACGCCAGCGACTTAAGACTGGTTTTGTAGTCCAGGATCACATATAGGCCTAGGTGTAATATAGCCTATTGAATCAATAATTTTGACCCATACAATGTATTTTTGGCTATTGCTACAAATATACGCCAGCGACTTAAGACTGGTTTTGTAGTCCAGGATCACATATAGGCCTAGGTGTAATATAGCCTATTTCATGCTTAAGCTCACGCATAAAGCTTGCCAAAATGCACCGGCAAAAGTAAAGATTATGAATGTGTTTTAATGATTTATTCAGTGGCGGGCCGTGCAATTTACACCTAGGCCTTCAGTGGCGTCCTACATGAATTAATCCATCACTTCATACCATCATAATGATGCCACGGCTATAGAAACCATAAATATTACACAGTAATGCAGTATAACAGGGCACTACATAACAGACAGGTATCTTATGTAGCGAGAATGAATGCCATTACTAAAGAAAGAAACCCAATTAACAATTGCGCAACACATCATCCGTAGCTTGAATCATTAACCTAACAAAATGACACAAATACAGTCCATCCGATGTTCTTACAGACATTTATTCACCCAAACGCATTTATACCTTACAGATAGCATTGGTATAAAACAAATAAGGTGATTACATGTGTTTTAAAGTTGACCTAACAAATTAATGTTCTCTTACTGCTTTATTTC